GGGAGAAGGGGAGAAGGGGAGGAGGGGGGAGAGAGAGCGAGAGAGAAGGAGAAATGCACCGCCTCCCCAATCTTCAACGTGAATTAAAAGTGAAATACAACCAATTACCTCTGAAAGCGTTTTAATTTCGCCTATTATTGTATTGTCAAAATTCTTGAGAGTTAATTTAATTTCTACACCAGTTAAAAGGCGAAACGATACAACTGCCCTGATTTGCGCCCTTTTTGGCTTATTTCGCGTCTAAACTATAAAAAAATTCCTACTATCGCCACTATAACAACACACAAAAATTATTTCCAGCACTAATGAGCACTGAACAGCTCCGAAGAAAAAATGATTTGCAACCTAAACTAAGTGGTTGAATTCTCTATTTGCATTAATGCAAGGAGATGAGATGTACTATGGAGAGTGAAGAATTTGAAGTGATGATGGGATGATCGTCAAAACATTGCCCACCTGTTTCCAATATAAAATATTGGGATCTATATGTTCTCAATACTACACACCTAGGTGATGTTTATATATCCAATTTTACTCAGACTCACTTTCAGTAGATGTGACTGATTGCTGCGTTTCTCCTTGTTCCGTCTCTGTTTGATCTACTCTTGTCGAATCACCACGCTCAGATTCCGCATGCAGGTGTGAGCCTGATTCTGCCTGAAACAACATGATATTTTACATTTTGACAATTTCAGCGAAGTTGATTAGAAAGTGCTTATTTTGACGATAATTTTGTCAAGCTTTCGAGAAACTGTATAGAGCAGTAAAACAAAGCGCGTGCAAAGACAAGAATCGAAGTGTGCTTTTTCCAAAACCAAAGGATGACTATAGGGAAAGAAGAATAGCAGCAGCATTACATCTGGTAAGACACACCTGTTCATGAACAGCCTCTCCTTCTGCTAACTTGTCCAAATTCTCCTGATCTTCCTCTTTTTCTTTGGAAGAGTCAATCTCGAGATTGTCAGCTCCGGAACCCGATGTATTTGCTGAATAGTCAATCATTTGCGGTTTATTAAGACTCGCTTAGATGTCAACACAAAGACAGAAGAATAAAGAACCTGCTTCCGGAGCTGGCAGTCTCGAGATTGACTCCTCCAAGAAAAATGAGAAAGATCACGAGATTGTCAGCTTCGGAACCCGATGTATTTGATAAGAGTACACCATTTGTTTGCTGCTTATCAAAACTGGTTTGGATGTTAATCCAATGACAGAAATCCATCGAACCCCGTCTATGCGCTACTTTAACTTTTCATTTCAACTGGAGTGACACCGAGAATTTTCACATACACAATCTTAAAAAATATTTCAAGAGAACCACTCCTAGATTTCAGAAAAGATGCAGTTATATCTACCAAAACTGAAAGCAAAATTGAAAACCAAGTTATGATCAAACTGTAAAAAATCTATCCAATTTGAACTTTATTTGTATTGTTGTTTATTGTTGAAACCTTGAAAAATGGAAAATGATGGCAGCAATGCAAATGAAAAAAAGCTCTGCAATCGTTCGCACATGATGACACAGAAGAACAATTTGGCCATTACAATATCGAGTAAAAAACCAGGAAAAAAAATAGGATAGGGAGTTCACGGGAAATAAAGAAGGAAACTTATTTAGTAGAAAGGGCATATAATTGTTAGATGGTATACCTTCATCATTTCCATCTCCATTCGGTTTATCATTTCCAAGCTTCAAAACATCCTTCTCGGTTGAAATGCCCGCCTCCGTGTTCTAATTATTGAAATTAATAGACATACGAATGCAAAAAGAACGTCTGATATGCATACCAAAACGCCAGATTTGCCAAAAAGGCCTTTTCTAGAGAGGAGACCGGAAGCACTGGTATTCGAATCGGAGGATCTGAAAACAAATGCATTTGCCGGAAAGAATGGTAACTGGAACTACTACAAAAAACAGAAACCAAAGAGGAGAAATGATATAGATTAAAATGTAATTATGAAGTACTCATGCAATTTGTTTTGCTGATATGTTATAATAGAAGATACGAAAGTATTTTCACATTTCCGGTTTCCTAAGAACTAGACCGGTAGTGCGACTTTCTTGGTGCCTTCGGGTTTGAAAACCTTTTATCGGTAGTTCCCAAGGAAGCTGGCAAAAGTTGACAAAAGTTATGCAGTCTTATTACAATATATTAGCAAAGAACTTCAACTTAGACAATAAAGTCTAAGTGTAAGTATGAATAGAGAGGATGAATAACCATTATCTCCACGGACCGAGATTTATTTTCCCGCCTGGTCTCTGTCAGCTATTGTAAATGGGCCGTATATTCTGCACTTCATGTATAATTGGAAGGGAAACTGCTGTGGCAAATCCGTATTTGCGTGATAATGAAGGGTCTGTTATATAACACGTGTATGAAAATTAAGATGTACTACGATCACAACCATTAGTCTGACTTAACTCAATGACTCTTTTTTTGAAGTAAAGGTGTTGAAGAAAATATATCCTGCTATATCAGATGACCAGTGAGGTATCTAATGACCTTAAAATCGTAGTTATCTGTATTGTTGTATAAGGAGGAACTTACACCCTTGTTGTCTACTATAAGTGTTATCTAAAAAATTAGCCTCATTATCTTTGTTGTTCGTCTTTTCTATCTCTAATGAAGTGCGATATATTTCTTTCAGGGAATTTGCAAACACCGTTATGTTATGTCATCAGACAAAATATCATTACTTATAATAAAGCGATAATTTGTCTGTATGTATGTGTGTGTTTCTCTGTCTGTCACGAAATTAGGTTCATTTGTCCTAAGAAAGTCAAAGAGCAGTTATCAAGCGTTATCATGTTAACTGCAGCACACTAAGTA